CTGTGTTATCAATATTTTCCCTAATGTTGAAACTTTCCATGTACTTTACCTATACATAACGACAGATTAAAGTTGATTGCAGGAATTGATTTCAATTTATAACATTGTTGACTGAAAACATATTTGAAATGCGTATCTTTCTATTTGTTTGAGAGCAAAAATTATACTTGTTTATATTTTATTCTTATTACGAATATTTTTATTATTAGATATTTGATTATCGAAATATTGTGTTTGTGTGTGTGTGTATATATAAAAAATGAAACTGTATAGAATAAGTTTTGTAAATACATTTATACAGAGAGATACTCAAGACTAAAGTTAAAAATTTTGTTGATAATGTTTATAATTGTGACACAGATGTTGCATCTCATAAATAGTCTTACTTCTTTTATATTTTAAACTAAAAGATACAGAGATCATGATAAATAAAGTTCAAATTTTTAATGATTTGAACTGAACTTTATCATGTGAACATAACTATGATTCATAAAAGCTATTGAGATTGGTTGAGAGAGATATTATTGATAAAAAAATAATGTTAGTTCTCTATTCTTGAATAGTTTTCTGTCAGAATCACTGTTATATTCTCACAATAGAATTAAGTTTAAACCATTATTAAATTTTATTTATATTATGACCTAACTTATACATGTTTCTTTTTTCTATTTTTTTGCAGCCAATATCAAATTAGCACAAACTGCAGATGCTGATAAAGAAGAGGAAGCAGTAATAGTTAACATGCAGGAACCAGTAAAGTTAACATTTTCTTGTCGTTATTTAAACAGTTTTGTGAAGGCTGGTCCTCTTTGCAATCAAGTTCAACTGTCTATGTCCGATGATGTGCCTTTAGTATGCGAATATAAAATTGGTGATATTGGACACATCAGGTATTACCTGGCGCCCAAGATCGACGATGAGGAGGAAAATTAAAATAAGAAATAAAATTCGTATACATTGAACTATAATTATCAGTACCGTATTAAGTTACTTATTGCTTTGGAAAATGTGTCCTAGTAATTTTCTTACATACTTATCATATTTATTTCAATAGAAAAAGATTAATCGGCTTGACACGTTAATTCTAATAAAGGGACAATACCATACATATATTTTAATAATGGAGAGAAAATTAAATATTCTGTTATTAATATTGAGGTACAAGTAACGCAAAGTTAGAAGTACTTTTAAGGTAATATATTATTTGAATTTTACATTTAAAAGTTATTTGGCTTGTCACAGTGCTAGCGTAATGCAGAATTGACACTAAAATTCATAGTAGAGTGACACAATAATGATTAATATAGCAAAATGGTGTCATCTTCTTAATCAATATTCACATTGTTACTGTTCCAGAAACTGTGACAGTATTTTGATAATATCGCATTGTTTTTTTTTCTTTTTATATGTAAGAAGAACTCAATATATCTCCAAAAAATTTGATAAATTTTAAATATTATATGTTTTATATTCTTATATATCCTAGCCTAGATCGAAATTCCAAGTTTTGCTTAATCTTATTTCTTATACGTTTGTGTGTATAAGCTATTTTAATATAAAAATACATAATTAACTTACGAGCTGAGGGAATAAAAGGGCTATCATGGATGGAATAGCCTAGAAGTATAGTTAAATCTTACATAATTTGGATTTCTCGTATAATTACTCTAAATAATTAAATTAATGATTAATTGTTAAATATCGATTTATACTATAGAATTATTTTACACGCAAGCACTCCTCGATCGACAGATCTTTATAAGTAGTAAAATCATTCAGCACACATTTATTCTTCTTGTACTTAAACAAAAAAAGTTTCTTTTTAAATAAATAACTTTTTTATGCGTGCACTACATTAGAGGAAAAGAAGAGCAACAGTTAAAAACACAACAAAATGAGAGTTTTGGCAATATTAATCAGCCTCTTTGGTATTAAAGCCCTGATATTGCTTTCTTGTTTAACATTTTAACTCAATCAAAAATTATTTAACGAGAGAGGAGTTCTATTATATATTTTTTATACACGATTAAAAAGAAGATTATTATATTATAAAGAACGCGATAATTCTACCCTTTTTAGAAAAAATAGTTTGTATTATAGATTTCTCTCCAATATGCATTGGGAATTTTTAAAATGCGCTCAGTTATGCTTTTTCAGTGGAGATTACAACACAGATCTCGACTCTACTAGTTCCTTGTCACATCACGCTCCGATTTGGCATCCTTTTATATGTTATATAGATACGCGTTCAGTCTAGGTAGACATAATATTGAACATAGATAAGATGCTGTATAGTTTCTCCACGACTGAGACGCCATGCAAAACAGAAATATATATATTTATATATATATATATATATATATATGTATATGTTTCGGAAAGGAATGTAAAGGGCCTTTAAGCGTTCGTGCTACCATTACTCCCGTATAAGCTGGGATGTACGTATTTGTCATGCAAAGTTCTTAAATGCCTCAATAGATTGCTCTTTACATTGAAGCCTTTTTTGCAGTAGGAACAGAGGAAAGGCTTTTCGCCCGTATGCGTTCGCTGGTGGATGACCATCGAGGCATGGCTCGGGAATTCCTTTTGACATATGTTACATAATTTTTGATGATTGTGCACCCTCTTCGGCTTAGGGGGTGCCGAATTGTTCATCAAGGCCAGCTGCTCCTCCGTGTGCTCCGTCTGTATGTGACGTACCCATTCCTGCGGCGTAGAATACATGTTGCCGCATAGATCGCATTTCAGAGGTGGGAAGTCCTTGCTGTCATCGTTCACGTCGTCCTGAAATCGTCACGTTTCACAAAATTTCTGTGATATTATTATATCTATGCGAATCACATCACGTTTAAGGAAATCGAAATACCTTTCGTTTCTTTCTTCGATTTTCAGTCATGTCAGCGTGCGTGAATTCTATATGTCTCACCCAGTCTGACGGTCTGTTAAACGTTTGACTACACATATCGCACGTCAATGGTGTATATTCCTCTTCTTCCATATCTCCGTCTTCGTCCGCGCTATGCACAATCTCCTGCAAAGGGAATAATAGGAATTGTTATTGTTTCTCGTCTCTTCGTTATAAAAAGAGTAAGTAATTTAGTAGTTTTATTTTAACTCACTGGTTTGATATCGATTTCGTGGTCTATCGTAAGTGATTCCGACGGATCGATCGTCTCTTCCCAATCAATCGGCTCATCCTTCACTAACAGTTCCAGATTTAGCTCCGTCTAAAAAAAAAAAAAGAAAAACAAGAAGAACGTTAGATTTTCTATGAACGTCTTTTTTATTATATTATTACAACCAAATCTATAAAAAAAATGCTGCCTCACGTTTTCGCCACCTTCGCTCTTCGACTTATTCGATTCGACATCGCTGTTAACGGTCTTCTTTTTCTTGCTGTTCGTCTCGAGATTCTCCTTGTTTTTATTTTGCTCATTATTTTTATTTTCCTCTAAAACCTTTTTGGCGTCGGATTCGTTGGTCTTTTCTTCGATGATCTTCTCTGTGCTCTTCCTCTCGACCGGCTTCGAGGGTTGTACATTATTTTGGCATGCCGTAGCCTGTTGCGCGTTCTCGACTATTTTCTCGGTGGTCGGTTGTACCAATTTGATCTTCTGTATCTGCCCGGTCAGCTGCGACGATTCCCGCTTGTCGCGTTCGATTTTCTGATTGTTCGACTGTATGTTTTCTTTCTTGCTGCTACCGGTGTTCGATCTCCATAATCCACGCACACGCAATATATCGCCGGCTTTCAAGACTCCTTCCAGCTGATCATTCGTTACAGTGGCTTCGCCGCTATACATGTACTGTATCAAGATTTTTAGCGTACGGTATCCAATCTCTGTAGGCAGTACCTGAAAAGTACAGAATGATATCATCGATTTTGTAACGAGTAAGAAAAATGACGCGGTAAAAGATCCGATAAATTTTCATTATACCAACCACGATTATCGGAGCATTGGTGTTCGCGCCGAAGTGACACGTCTGGAAAATGTGACTTAGGTACGACGAGCAGGCCGCAAGGACGAACCGATGAGCCGCCACGTGTCGGCCGCAGGACGTGGCAAGTAGAACATCCGCAAAGGACTCCGAATGAAGCAGCGTCGCGACGGAGCTATGCAGATGCGCTCCGTAGCTGTGCCACTTGAGCTGATAATTCTCCGAAGCGGCGATTGCCATCTTTTCTATATTAGACAAAAGCGCGATCTCGGATTAGATAGGTGTGAAAATACAAGAAGATAACATTGCCATTCGATATCGCGTATTTAGCGCTAAATGCAAATTCCTCCAATTAATTTATCTAATCGATACAATTTTGATATAGAATAAAAATCGGAGAAATGACGTATATATGTACAATTGCAGAGAACTGTAATGCGTTTATGAGCCTGTTGCGTGGCGATGTAATCTCTTATTGATAAACCGATCAAATTATATTATTTGGCAGGATATGGCATCACATGGAATCTGTTTTTCGTCAGCATCTTGCGTATTGTTATCTATATCGATCTATCGTCGCGATTAAACAACTCCGGATGATTATCTGCAAAGGCGGTTTAGAAAGAGAGGCTACGTCGCCATGATCCCTCACGTCCGATCTCGCAAGCGAAGAGCGTCACGTCACGATCTAGCGAATGATCCTTCGCCGCGTGATCCACGAAGATAAAAAACTTCCTGTCACCTTCTATCTTCACGTTATCTTTCCACTGCGACTATATCGCAGTAATCGCGTAAACTTGACGTCGGCACACTCGTGCTACTTCAAAATTGTACAAATCGTTTGAAAAATCGATACAAAGAGATATGACAAATACTTTCTCGAGAACGACTACAATATTATTCGAGGTGGTGAGATCGTTTAAATCCTTCACTCACGACTCGAGCGGAACTGTCGAGTTGTCTCCTTGATCACGTTTGCGACGATCTCGTCGTCGTCGTCGTCGCCGCCCGTATACAGATCAATGCAGGCCGATAAGTCGCGCAACGTGATAAACTCGCGCGCGGTGTCACTCTCGCTACCGCGAGATTATTCCCCGATCTCCATACCTCGCCGCGCGTTAATCGAATTTGCAAACTCAATCAGGATGCGCAGGCATCGGGGTTGACCGCCCTGTCCTTTACCGCGAATCCGGCGATCCGACACGACACCCTTCATTCGCACCCTCTCGATACCGAGGTCGGGGGTCGCGTGTTTATTACGTCGCGTGTACGTGTATATATATATATATATATGCGGATTACACCGGAAACACTCCGTCGCGCGTCTTGACACCGAGGAAGAACCGCATTGATATTATCGCTCGCTCGTGAATCATCCACGGGGAGAAGAGCGCGAGAGAATGCGTCGCGACGAGCCCTCGATCGCTTTTCCCCTCTCTCTCTCTCTTTCTCTTTCTCTCTCTCTCTCTCTCTCTCTCTCTCTCTCTCTCTCTTGTTCTGGCCAGACGTCTCGTTTTTGCCGTTGAATCGCGATTTACCTGAAAACATCGGCGCACACTGGTAATGATTGGCAGGATTCACTCCGACGTGATCTACTTGAACGCGCGATTTACACGCGACGATAAATCAATCCGTGAACAAGACGTAGGACCAGGACGTCGACGAAGACGAGCACTGCGTGCACGAGCGCGGCGTATCTCGCGCGCGTCGTCGGTGTTTTGAAAGGCGCTTGGCGCGGACAGGACGGGGCACGGGGCAGATACGAGCATCGAACGAACCGCCGCGTAGGGGCCTAAAAATCGATATTTCGGTCTTTGCTCCATCCTCTCCGCGCGCCGTGTACGGTGCGGTGCGGTGCGGTGCGGTGCGGTGCGGCACGGCGCGGCCGTGGCTCGCCGGCTTTCGCCGGCTAGAGAGGTAGAGGTAGAGGGTAGGGTATGCCCCCCTGTTCATCATCGATTTTCCCGGCTACCAATCGCACGCATCCATTTATCGCATCGATCGCCCGAGCTGATTTCAGCGTTTGCGTCCGTACGTCCATCCGCCCGCTCGCTCCACGACGATTCATGCACCCTCCCGACGATTCCCTCTCTCCTCTCCCCGAACCGCCAGTTCCCTACCTCTCTTCCTATCCTCCCCACACCCGCCGGGATACCCTTCTCGCGACCCTACCCCTTCGTCGAGGCGACCCTCGCCGCCGCCGCCGCTTCGGTTCTCTGTATCTTCGATCGTAGATACGACTCGACTCGAGAGACCCGTCGAGGGTCGCGTCGAGAGGGAGGCCGACTTTGCGGACGCTGCGATCCGATGCGATCGCGTCCGCCGACTTCTTGATATGCCTGTTGATATCCCGCTACGTCGACCGGCGGTTTCCTTATTCGAAAGCTCTTCTTCTGTAGAAGGAGAACGTAGAGGATTTTCGGAGCGGCGAAATGTCGCGAGGTATCGATCACCTGCCGCTCGATGATCTATCCTGTCCAGACGAAGGATCGGAAGGCGCTTTCTTTCTCCCGTTTGTGAGTTTGTACACGGGACGTCTAGAAGATTTCATCAAGAAAATTAGTCGTTTTCTCATTATGACATTTGCCGCGTCTCTTTGATTGATTTTTCAAACGGTTTATAATATTCTTATAGTAAGCTCTAACGCAAAATTTGCACGCGCATTGATATATATGTGGTAAAAGCGATAAAGCACATTACAAAATTGGTAATGTTAATTTAGTTATCAAAGAGCGCGTTTTTACGTCGCTGAATAATGATGCCGGCAATATCCACCATAGTCGAGTTTGAATAATTTTTTTTTTTTTTTTTTGCAGATTTGACTTTACTTTATATACATAATAATAACCTTAATATACCTACGTGTTTGTGATGGAATCAACAATTACACTCTTATGTCACTCTAATGTCACGCGACAACGCGCCGAGGGATCTATGGATCCTTTCGGGCTTTGTCATTCCGACAACTTCGTGGAGATTGAACGCGATCGAAGATGTCATTCGTGCCCGAAGATGGCGCCGGTAGTGGGATTGTTCGATTTTCAGGATTTCCTCGGTCACATGCACACGTAATGCTACGTGTATGTGTGTGTGTGCGTGCGTGTGCCGTGCGCGGCGACGTACCGCATTGCGTCGACGACCCATTTTGCAACGGGGGCGATAAGTCGCGCTCGCGCGACCCTCCCTGCCGTTTAAATAATCAATCTCGCGACGCCCGCTTATCGAGACGCCTTTTTACCTGCCGGTGCTACAACGAGGAGGCGGTTAGGACACGACGCGTGGTTCGGCGTCGTCGAATTCTCCGTCTCGCGTTGCATCTGTATAATTTTCTCTTCGCTCTTCGACGCTACGATCTCCTCAAACTCGAAATCGTGCGAGGTATCGTCGTAAAAAAAGCTTGACAGTCCGCGCTGATCACCGCGGGACAGAGAAATTCCGATGATCGACGATGATCGATCCGCAGGATGAAGGTATGCGCGGTTTGAATCGCGATCGCTCGAGTCACGTGGTGACGAGTCACGTGGCGTTTTCGCGTGAGCTGCGCGAGGGCGCTTCGCGAGCGAACACGTCGTGCGACAGGCTTCACAACAGTCCGTGTGTTTCGTAAATATGCGTATTATTGCCGTCGGTCGGAGCTTCGTCGCGACGACGATGATGTCGAGGACGATCTGAGAGGAAGGATGCGATTCTCGGGAACGTGACTCGGTGTCGCGGACTTAATTGATACGGCCGATGGTGTTCGCGTGCGATTCGTGAGTGGCTTCGTTGACCCAATTTTGATAGACGGAAGGTCCTTCCTTTGCGATTATGATCCTTTCGGTGCACTCTCTGGTCGGAGTCGGTAGCCTCCGAGACGGACAGATCGCGCCGATTCGTAAAATTCGCCGAGTCTAAGTAGAAAGAAAAAAATATTATCTCGTGTGTTGGTCTCTACGCGAGAATATCGGAGTCGGTGGCCTCCGAGACGGACGATGACAGATCGCGCCGATTCGTAAAATTCGCCGAGTCTAAGTAGAAAGAAAAAAATATTATCTCGTGTGTTGGTCTCTACGCGAGAATACTCGGTTGAGGACTCCTCTCTATTTTATAGAGTACGATAAAATTAGGTTAAGTCGGGTTCTTATCACTTCGTCCTCCTGGCTCGATTCCCCGACGTCGTAGACAGTGAGCTCAACAGGCGGATTCCGCGTAAAGTGGTGAATAGATATATGGATGTTGCTGTTGGCTCCCGCAGCGTGTTTCGACTCGGGGACCAGACGGAGCAGGCAAGATGAAATATGTTTGTCCAAATTCTCGTGCAGGAACGTCAAAGAGACACGATTGTACGATTTTGATAAATCGCCAGCGATCCGTAACTGTGATTTCTACGTTCATATATGGCAATACGTGAGAGGAACTCTAGCCACGAGCAAGATGCCTCACATCACGAGAAAATGGGAGCTATTTCCGGGCAGAAATCGCTTTTGTTGCGACGGCCGAGTGATGATGGCACCGCAAACCGGAGTATTCTATGTCACAGTGTGCCTCATCGTCGGAACAAGTGGATTATTCTTCGGTTTTGAGTAAGCGCATGATATATAAATTTATATTATATTATATATATTATATACTTTCTTCAAAAATAGAGAATCAATATAGGATCAGATAGAGATAAATTGTTACAACATCTTGCATACTTTAATCTTCTCTGAAAGAGAAGAAATGCGAGACAAGAATAATGTGTCTTGAGATAGTTTGTGAGATTGAATCTATTGGCAAGAAGATTAATGCTTTTCTATGCATTAGCAAAATAAAATTATCTTCTTTTCTAGTTGTCCGTATTTGGCACTACACGTAACACCAGCAATACCAGTAATAGGAGCTTTGCTATTCATATTTGTAATGTCTGCTTTGTTCCGCACAAGCTTCAGCGATCCTGGAGTAATTCCGAGAGCAACACCTGACGAAGCAGCTTATATTGAAAAACAAATCGGTATATAAATATAATTGTGTGTGTTGTGATATTTATAGATAGTTAAATCATTTCATTTAGATATAATGCCATTATAATGCCATTTATAATGCCATTAATATTTAAATGTAGAAATAATGAAAAAAATTGTTTATATTATACCTACATGTAAATTTATTAAATACTAAATTAAAATATTTTTCATGCTGGGCTGTAGAAGTACCAAACAATGGCAACTCTAAAACATACAGACCTCCTCCTAGAACAAAAGAAGTCTTGATTAGAGGACAACCAGTAAAACTAAAATATTGTTTCACATGTAAAATATTTAGGCCACCAAGGGCCTCTCATTGTAGCTTATGCGACAATTGTGTAGGTATGTGTGTATATCTTATTGTGTTATTTTATTAAAATGTAGATCATTTATCAAAAAATAGATTATACGTGTAAAGATATCTGCAATATTTGTTTTCTCTTTTCTTTTTGTATTATCAGATATATATCAGGATTGATATTGTATAGCAATCACTGATAATTGATCACGAATATCAGACATGATTTTAAAGATAACTATTTTTGCAGAGAGATTTGATCATCATTGCCCATGGGTCGGTAATTGCGTAGGCAGAAGAAATTATAGATATTTCTATGCTTTTATAGTGTCCCTAGCATTTCTTTGTGTCTTTATATTTATATGCGCAGTCACGCATCTAATTATGCGTAAGTGCTTTAATTTCTGAATTGCTAAATGAATAGAAATAAATATTTTAGAAAAAGTAAAACGCAATATTTTATATTTATCTTATTTTTTTTATAATGATTGTAGTTACAAAGGATAACAAGCCGTTTTTAGAAGCTGTCAAGTTATCTCCGAGCAGCGTTATTGTCGGAGTCGTATGTTTCTTCTCTGTTTGGAGCATTTTAGGTCTTGCTGGCTTTCACACGTATTTAACTAGCAGTAATCAAACAACTAACGAAGATGTAAGTAGGTTTGACAAAATTATGTATAAATAAGCAACTTTTTTTCAATTCTTTTGTATCTTTTTTTGGCTGTTATCCCACAATAGATTAAGGGATCATTCACGAATAGGAGAGGTCAGGACAATTTTAATCCCTATAGTCAAGGAAATATCTGTGGAAATTTTTTTTATGTTCTATGTGGACCAGCTCCACCTAGCTTAATCGGTAAGATCCCTTCTTACATATTAAAAGCTTAATATATTTGCAAACATGCAATTTATGGAATCAAAAAAAAATTATACATCTATCATTGTTGTATTCTGTTATTTTATATCGGTTTCATTCATTCTCAAATCATATCTTTTCAGATCGAAGAGGAATAGTCACACCCGAATATCGCGCAGAACACGAATCAATTGGTGATGATAATATGATCACTAATAATAAGACGTATGGTACTGCCAAGATCGTACAGCCTCAGGTAATTACGATTAAGCGTATTTATTAGTCTATTTTGTATGCTAGTATCAAATAAATAGTGCAATAGATATTTAATAAGCAACATATATGATATTAATTCTTCATCTTTTTTTTTTCTTGTACATTACAACAGTCAAATGGTACAACGGTTCAAACAAGTCCTACCACGGATTTTACGGGCTCGATGAACAATTTAATCAGCGGTCAACATTCTCCGAGAATAGAGTCAATAAACGGTGAGTTGACCCTCTTGAGGCATCCTACGCGTTGCCCCGAGGATCTTCCAAAATATCCGCGCCAATATATCAACGACACTTATGTGCCGCCATATCCGACGCAACATTGCTCTCAGGATTCTATGAAACATATTAAATATAACACTGAGATAGACCGATTAAATCCAGAATTTCAGAAGTATCCGTGTAGATGCGAAGAGAGTTTACAAAAGTATCCTCACAGATGTAGAGAGGAATATCATAGATGCTCGGATAACAATCTCATATATGATCAGTGCATAGGGGATCAGAAATACGACATTGATCTTCAAAAGTATCCTCAGAGATACTCCGAGGATCCCCTACGTTACCAGATAAGCGAGAAGAACGGTTATACCGATCTGCAAAAATTTCCGCAATGTTATTCCGAGGACCCGTTGCGAATCGCGCAATCCTCGCATATGCTTAAATATAATAATTTGAGGTGTACCGAGCACAGTTTAAAATATCCAATATCGAAGAATATTTTGCCGGCGCGTATATTAGGTACGGGTGGCATTCCGATTATCGGGCAGACCGCGATCGGACTCGTCGTCAATAGATTTGGCTCTGGACCACTAACCAACGATTTATCATATACCGAGAACTCGTTATGTCCGAGTGATAGTACCGAAGAAGATCTGTTGAATCGACGTTTCATTATGAGTTCACTGAGTGATAACGAGGATATTTAACGTTTGTTATATATAAACCAATAATAATGCATTTTTTTAAATATACGATTTGGTTATAGAGAGAAAAAAGAAAAAACGATACAAATCATGTAATTATTACATTCTCTTACCAAAGAAATTGTAGATTCGTAATATTAAAAAGCTTTAATATGATTCGTCCTATTCTCAAATTCTCGCACTAAAGAAGTGCTCTAATTTGTATATATAAATTATATGGTTGTTCTTGATTTAATTGGGAATTGAAAAAAAAGAATTATATATACAAATGTCAAGCAGTTGAAATTAATTGTTGCAAAAAGAGATCTATTTATTTTTTGAAAATACCGTTTTGCGTTATATATAGATTTTTATTTTGAAAGTAAAATATCTATATTATAGTTATATATATGATGATATATAAGTGAAGTTATAAGAAATATAAGATGTGTAGCAGTTGTATTTACTTAAGATGCAATTCTTTTTTTTTTTTTTCCATAAAACATCTTTTTTGTAATTATAATTTATATATTGTATGAAAAATAAGTTCTTTTTAAATTTGTTATATTGTATTATTCTCTGCATTCAATATATTCTCGGTTAAAAATTTTTTTTATTTTTCTCACATAAATTATGCTTAATTGGATAGCTTTCATTGATTATAAAGACGGATAAAAATGCAATATATATATGCAAAGATATATATTTTTAACATTCATTTTTTTTCAATATTGAATTTATATTGTAAAAACAAAATTCTTTTTTCTTTAGGTATAAATGTATTTCTGTGAGTCTGTGTGTGTGTATATATATATATATATATATATATATATATATATAAGTTTTTTTGTAATTAATAAAACTTCAACTAACTAAATAATATCAAAAGCTTAAGAATATTTGTAAAGTGTTACAGTATTACAAATAATATTCTACGCACTTATGTAAACTTATTAACATATTCATTTGTAAATACGCTATCAATATTAATTATATAACCATCGCTGATAAATCTTATCGATGTAGATAGCTTTATTAGTTATATTGTTTAAGTATGTATAGTTATGCAGTGCATAACACAGGATATCTTTAAATGTAAGATGTTATCACAGCTTTTGTGTGTTGCGAATAATGTATCTGTCACTTTGTTAATATCTTGATCAAAGTAAAAGTATTATTGAGCAAAACACGCATTGAAACGAAGTGTACTAATAAATCCTCAGATATCATCCTTCGCATCTTGACGCTAAGAAGGAAATGTTCAAACATATCATGTTAATATATTATTAAAGAAGATAAACGTGTCAGTAAGAACTGATTCTGTCATTCATCAAGAGAACCAGTTAGAATCGCAACACTACTTGGAATTATGCCAATGTCGACAATTGATTACCGTGCTTCACGTACATGGTTTTGAATAAAAGATATTGACTTAAAATCGCTCTTCCTTTCTCATTTGATTACTATTATATAACTTGCAACATCTTTGGCTTTTTGTTTTCCAGTCCTTTTTCAAATTTGTTAATTCTCTCGCTTTTTCGATCTTTAACTTTCTACGTATATGCAGTTTCCTCTTTACATATATAAATTTTCTCATTACATCTTATTTCTTTATCTCTCGAATTATTTTAAACGACAACTAAGATTTAACCATTTATATTATTAAAAAATATTTATAACTACGAAAAAACGTAAAAAATGTTAAATTTGCAAATGAGAGCAATTTACTCGGTGAGAAGTAGGATATAGGATTTCTTAGATAAGATTCAGAGAGCACATTTGAGAAATCCTGACCGAGCGAGTTTGGAGTAAAACGATAAAAGTGCACCAGAATAAAACGAAAACCGGACAGTAAAATATGGGTCACTTGCGGAAAGTGAGTTGATGACAGGTTTGAGAAGCAATTGCGACAAGGCAGCTCGACAGGGTCACACAAGTTGTGCTTTTAAAACCCTTGAATTACTTTGCGAAGGCTTTATATAAGTCTTTCTATCAGAATCGTAACGATTTCATCTTCTTTCTTGGAAGATCTTGCTTTCTACTAACAAACATTAACACAACTAAAAAAAATGCAACATACATATTCTACAAATAAAAGCAATCGATAAAAGAAAACATATCATTTTAGATTTTATGTTTTTGGTTGCCGTTGCACTTAATACTGCTTAATGAATATATTAATGCATTTCTGTCATTAAGGCAAAAATAAATAAACACTATCACTTGTAATGAGATATTATATAAATCTTGATTTGCAAATCAATTTGATTATTTTTTTAATCTTTCTTGGAATCTATAAATTTAATTACTTGTTTCTGATAAAAATATTCAACTCATCGTAAATAAATTAATAATGGAAAGTAACATGTACACTTATCTTATTACTTTGATTTTAAAAATCTTAGCAATCGAAAGCAATTTAATTATTGAATTTAACAAGGAAAAGAAGCAATCTTTGCTTGCAAGAAGTGAGTAATATTAACAGTTTTTAAATAAATTTTGTTTATTTATGGATCTCGTTTAGATCTCTAGATTTCGATTTATAAATTGGGTTAATACATTAGCGGCTCATTCTCGATGTATCTTCCCTTTCTTGTCTAGTAAGAATGAGCCCAATGATTACGAAATCATCTGGAAGAATTGTATACTTGCAAACAGCGATATATTATGCATGATAAGATTGCTCAGATAATCCGGCTACGTTAATCGTGGCTAGAATTATCGAACGACTTTTGAGGTCAGAATCGAGTGACGTGGCGATGGTCCGTGCGCGACCACGAACGATGGTCACGACTACGAGTGAGAGTCTCTTTGTATAGATCAGTGTTCTGGGCCGGAAGTGGCGGTAATCCATTTTCTCAACTTTCCATTCCATTGCGACTATATAGAATAAACATCGCGGTTGCGTGCGGTTAACGTTATTCTAGCATTATAAAAACGCTTGAATCTAGGGCTTACCTGGCCCTACGCAATTTCTTAACATATGTGTCATATATGGAGAAAAAATATTGTATTTAAAATAGAAACTGAAAATATTTATATTAGTCGTTATTCTTATTAAATATAAATAATTAATGTAGAATAATAATTTATATATTTAGAGAAATATACACACACATATGTATA